GGAGCTCACTTATGGGGCCACGGAACGCTGGACTGGATGGGGGGGACGCATGCAACCTGCGCCACTGGACCTTCGGAGGAGCTCCCTATGGGGCCACGAAAACGATGTCCTGGGTGGGGGGGACGCATGACACCGCGCCGCTGGGACCTTCGGTGGAGCTCCCTATTGGGCACGAAACGCTGCCGCTGGATGGGGGGACCGCTCGCAACCTGCGCCACTGGGATCTTCATGGAGCCCATAGTGGTGGAACGAAAACGGCTTTCCTGGATGGGGGGGGGGGCGCATGCAACCGCGACATGGACTTCGGTGGAAGCTCCCTATGGGGCCACGAAACGCTGTCCTGGGTGGGGGGGGCGCATGCAACCTGCGCCACTGGGACCTTCGGTGGAGCTCCCTACGGGGCCACGAAACGCTGTCCTGAGCGGGGGGGGCGCATGCAGCCTGCGCCACTGGGACCTTCGGTGGAGCTCCCTATGGGGCCACGAAACGCTGTCCTGGGTGGGGGGACGCATGCAACCTGCGCCACTGGGACCTTCGGTGGAGCCCCCTATGGGGCCACGAAACGCTGTCCTGGGTGGGGGGGGGCGCACGCAACCTGCGCCACTGGGACCTTCGTGATGGCATGGAGGGGGAGGAGGGAGGGGGCAGCGGGAGGAGAAGGAGACGCGGGGCACCGTCTCGTCAAAACGAGGACACAACACCACAGGATGGTTGGGAAAAAAATTAGCCTGGCGAAGGACCCAACCATATGCACCGTCTCCGGTGGATCTCCCTATGGGGCCACGAACCGTTTGAGGGGTGTGCCGAAATGGGTGTGGGGGCGGCATGCGAACGTTGCCACTGGGGCCTTCGGTGGAGCTCCTTATGGGGCCACGAAACGTGTGAGGGGTGCACCGAAGTTGGTGTGGGGGCGGCATGCGAACGCAGCCACTGGGGCCTTCGGTGGAGCTCCCTGTGGGGCCACGAAACGTGTGAGGGGTGTGCCGAAATGGGTGTGGGGGCGCATGCGAACCCAGTCACTGGGGCCTTCAGTGGAAATCCCCATGGGGCCACGAAACGTGTGAGGGATGTGCCGAAATGGGTGTTGGGGAGGCATACGAACCAGGCCACTGGGGCCTTCGGTGGAGCTCCCTATGGGGCCACGAAGCGTGTGAAGGGTGTGCCGAAATGAGTGGTGGGGAGGCATGCGAACCCTGCCACTGGCCTTCGGTGGAGCTCCCTATGGGGCCACGAAGCGTGTGAGGGGTGTGCCGAAAATGGGTGGTGGGGAGGCATGCGAACGCAGCCACTGGGGCCTTCGGTGGAGCTCCCTATGGGGCCACGAAACGTGTGAGGGGTGTGCCGAAATGGGTGTGCGGGACGCATGCGGACGGCAGCACTGGGGCCTTCGGTGGAGCTCCCTGTGGAGCCAGGAAACGTGTGAGGGGTGTGCCGAAATGGGTGTGCGGGACGCATGCGGACGGCAGCCATGGGGCCTTCGGTGGAGCTCCCTATGGGGCCACGAAACGTGTGAGGGGTGTGCCGAAATGGGTGGTTGGGAGGCATGCGAACGCAGCCACTGGGGCCTTCGGTGGAGCTCCCTATGGGGCCACGAAACGTGTGAGGGGTGTGCCGAAATGGGTGTGGGTGACGCATGCGGCCGCGGCCACTGGGGCCTTCGGTGGAGCTCCCTATGGAGCCACGAAACGTGTGAGGGTGTGCCGAAATGGGTGTGGGTGACGCATGCGGCCGCGGCCACTGGGGCCTTCGGTGGAGCTCCCTATGGAGCCATGTGACCACGAAACGGTGAGGCGTGCGCCGGAAATCGGTTGGTGGTGATGATGATGATGATGATGATGATGGGGGGGGGGAATGATTATGATTGATGATGATGATGATGGTGGGTGATGGTGATGCTGATGATGATGCTGATAGATGGACGACGACGACGACGAGACGACGGACGACGACGACACGACGACGACGACGACGACGACGACGACGACGACGACGGACGACGACGACGGACGACGACGACGGACGACGACGACCAGACGACCGACGACGACGACGACGACGATGATGATGATGATGATGATGATGATGACGATGACGACGATGATGATGATGATGATGATGATGATGACGATGATGATGATGATGATGATGATGATGATGATGATGATGATGATGATGATGATGATGATGATGATGATGAGATGATGATGATGATGATGATGATGATGATGATGATGATGATGATGATGATGATGATGATGATGATGATGATGATGATGATGATGATGATGATGATGATGATGATGATGATGATGATGATGATGATGATGATGATGATGATGATGATGATGATGATGATGATGATGATGATGATGATGATGATGATGATGGGAGGAGGGAGGAAGGGGAGGAGGAGGAGGGGAACGCGGGGCACCGTCTCTTCTGAACGAGGACCCAACACCACAGGATGGTTGGGAATAATGAGAATGCGAGTATTCGCACTGCTGCGAATACGAATGCGTAGGCGAATGCGATAATGCAAATAATGCTAATACGAAAACAAGCTCAAATGCGATTACGGCTCAGAACAAGTATCCTGGCGAAAGACCCAACCATATGCAATTGTAAGTACCGCAGTTGTGAGCCCCGCCTTCGGTGGAGCTCCCTGTGGGGACACGAAACGCGTGAAGGGTGTGCCGAAACGAGTGTGGTGGCGCCATGCGAACCCTGCCAATGGGGCCTTCGGTGGAGCTGCCTGTGGGGCCACGAAACGTATGAGGGGTGCGCCGACATGGGTGCGGCGGCGGCATGCGAACCCTGCAACTGGGGCCTTCGGTGGAGATCCGGAGCTCCCTGTGGCCACGAAACGTGTGAGGGGTGTGCCGAAATGGCTGCAGTGGTGCCATGCGAAATCTGCAACTGGGGCCTTCGGTGGAGCTCCTTCTAGAGTCACGGAACGTGTGAGGGGTGCGCTGAAAGGAGCGCGGTGGCGCCATGCGAACTTTGCCACTGGGGCCTTCGGTGGAGCTCCCCATGGGGCCACGAAACGCGTGAATGGTGCGCCGAAATGGGGCGGAGTCGCCATGCGAACCCTGCAACTGGGGACTTCGGTGGAGCTCCCCACGGGGCCACGAAACGTGTGAGGGGTGCGCCGAAATGGGGCGGGCGCGCCATGCGAACTTTGCCACTGAGTCCTTCGGTGGAGCTCCTTATATGGCCAACAAACGTGAGGGGTGTGCCGAAATGGGGCGGGGCCGCTATGCGAACTTTGCCACTGGGGCCTTCGGTTGAGCTCCCTATGGGGCCACACAACGAATGAGGGGTGCGCCGAAATGGGGCGGGGCCGCCATGCGAACTTTGCCACTGGGGCCTTCGGTCGAGCTCCTTCTAGAGTCACGGAACGTGTGAGGGGTGCGCGGACATGGGGCGGAGCCGCCATGCGAACTTTGCCACTGGGGACTTCGTCGAGCTCCCTACGGGGCCACGAAACGTGTGAGGGGTGCACCGACATGGGGCGGGGCCGCCATGCGAATTTTGCAACTGGGGCCTTCGGTGGAGCTCCTCATGGGTCCACGAAGCGTGTGAGGGGTGCGCCGAAATGGGGCGGGGCCGCCATGCGAATTTTGCCACTTGGGCCTCTTGTGGAGCTTCTTTGGGGTCACGAAACGTGTGAGGGGAGCGCCGAAGTGAGGCAGGGCCGCCGTGCGAACTTTGCCACAAGGGCCTTCGGTGGAGCTGATGACGATGACGATGACGATGACGATGACGATGACGATAACGATGACGATGACGATGACGATGACGATGACGGTGACGGTGATGATGATGATGATGATGATGATGATGATGATGATGATGATGATGATGATGATGATGATGATGATGATGATGGTGATGATGATGATGATGCTAATGATGGTGATGATGGTGATGATTATAAAGATGATGATGCTGATGAGGAGGATGACGATGATGATGATGATGCTGATGATGATGATGATGATGCTGACGATAATGGTTATGATGACGATGACAATGATGATGATGACGACGATGATGATGATGATGCTGATGGTGATGATGTTTATGGTGGTAATGATGATGATGACGATGATGATGATGATGATGATGATGATGATAATGAGGATGAGGATGAGGATGAGGATGAGGATGAGGATGAGGATGAGGATGATGATGATGATGATGATGATGATGATGATGATGATGATGATGATGATGATGATGATGGGAGGAGGAGGAGGCGGAGGAGGAGGAGGAGGAGGAATGGATTTCCGTTTTTCTGCCTTGTATGTATGCAGGAGGGAGGGGGAGAAGGAGGAGAACGCGGGGCGCTGTCTCTTCAAAACGAAGACCCAACACCACAGGGTGGTTCGGAAAAATACTAAAAATACAATTACCACTCCCTGCCCCTCTCACCAGAGGTCTGGACGAGGAGGGATGGCATGGGCATGAGGCGTCTAAGATGCCACTGGATGGCTCCAAAGCGGCCCCAAACAGCCCAAGATGCCAGGATCGCGCAAGATGGCCCAAGTTGGACCAACGTGGTCGGCCTACAGCTACAGCAAGGCTCCACAAGGTGCTCTAACAGGCCTGCAGGAAGCGCCCAGACGCCTACGTTGGCCAGTGTTGGGAGCTGTGTTGGCTGGCCCCAGCTTCGTTTCGACTGGCGCCCCGCCTCTTTGCTTCACTGATGCACCTTCACTTCCCCACTCACGACAAGTCGCATAAGAATCGCCTCTGAATGGCTGGTGGAGACACGCGCAGGGTCAAGAATTAGAACCCCTTTCCGAAGCACCGAGCCTGCGTCTTCAACGTGCGGAACCTCGGGAGCAACTCCTCGAATCTGGAGCCCTGTGCGATGGCGTCAGGCGAGCTGCCGTTCGGATACCAGTACAACAAGAGGCTCACTGACGGGAAGCTCTCCAGCGTCACGAGCGCTCCGTCCTGGTCGGGCAACGCGAACTCCGGGAAGGGCAGCGTCCTCAGCGTGGGGGCGCAGAGCCCAGGCGATGGGCACTTGGCAACGCCAACGCCAGACGGGTTCGCCTGCAGGCTGGAGGCCTGGAACAGATCGCCCGCGTCGAGCCGCTCGGGAAGGCCGACGGCGGCCCTGCAGGACAAGAGCATCGGCGGCGGACAAGCCTCCCTTCAGTAAACCTCCCTTGAGTGAAAACGGTCTGGGATCGAAACCGACGGGCCTGGACCCGCAAGAATGACTGCCGCGACGCCCTCTCGCGAACCGAAAACGGCCAATTCGCCCATCGACGCGTCGGGGTAGGAGGCCGATCAACCTCCGAAAGCAAGCCCCAGCCAGGCCAAGCTGCTTGATCTGACTCGGGCGGGTGGCAGTGGGGGGTGACCCAAGTGGGGGGTGAAGACAAGGGCCCTGCATGGGGCCCTTAAGGGCCCTTTTTGGGAGCCAGCTGGTGCCCAAGAGGGGCCTTAGAGCGCCCCATTTAGGGTCGCTTTCTTCACCCCCCCATGTAGGTCCTCCTCCTCCTCCTCCTCCTCCTCCTCCTCCTCCTCCTCCTCCTCCTCCTCCTCCTCCTCCTCCTCCTCCTCCTCTCCTCCTCCTCCTCCTCCTCCTCCTCCTCCTCCTCCTCCTCCTCTCCTCCTCCTCCTCCTCCTCCTCCTCCTCCTCCTCCTCCTCCTCCTCCTCCTCCTCCTCCTCCTCCCCTGGAATCCTGCTCCAGCGCCAGAGGCTGCGCTGGAGCTGCTCGCCGCACTCTGGGCCGACGGAGCCGTGGAGGGTGAAGTCCCGCTGCTGCAGCAGCCTCTCGGGCCGGAAGGCGTTGTCCAGGGGCCTCCCCCACGACCCCGCCTAGGGGACCACATGCGAACCCTAACCCTACCCCCCACGATTTCTCAGGGGGAGGTTGGGGTTCACTTCGTTCGGGAGCTTCCGAGCGAAGTGAACCCCACCCTCCCCCTTCGAAATGGTGGGGGGGTAGGGGTAGGGTTCGCATGTGGACCCCGCCTCAGTGATTCTCCAGGGGGCCAGCACTTCTGGCACCTCCCCCTCGAAGACCAAACGCGGAAACCAGTAGGGATACACAAAGTCTGGGGTCGGCTTCCTCCCGTCAGCCTCAAAGACATCCCGTACTTCGGAATGGCAGCGCTAAACGGATGGCAATGCTGATTGGGGGCGGATCTTCGGCCTTTTCATGATACGGAGAAACCTGACCGGACAAGAACGGGAAGCGTCGCTTTAGTCCACCAAGCATGTGGAATATGCTCTGTTGTTGTTACGCCGCGCAGGTATGCCGTGGCGCGCGTGTCGGCGTGCGTGCGGGGTGTGTTTGGCTGTGCTCCTGTGTGTGTTCTGCCGTGCTCCTGTTCTGCCATGCTTCTGTGTTCTGCCGTGCCTCTGTGTGCTCTGTGTGTTCTGCCGTGCTCCTGTATTCTGCCGTGCGGATCGTCGCGGTGGTCGTTTTAGCGGAGCTTCTGGGCGCGCACGGCAGAAAAAGATCAGGAGCACGGCAGAATAGGCCACAAGAGCGAAGGAGCACGGCAGAAAAAGACCAGGAACACGGCAGAATAGACCCCAAGAGCTAAGGAGCACGGCAGAAGAGGCCCAAGCGAAGGAACACGGCAGAAGAAGACCAGGAGCACGGCAGAATCTACCCCAAGAGCTAAAGAGCACGGCAGGAAAAAAACAGGAGCACGGCAGAATAGACCCGAAGAGCGACGGAGTACGGCAGAAAAAGACTAGGAGCACGGCTAAATATACCCCAAGAGCTGAGGAGCACGGCAGAACAGACCCCAAAGCGAAGGAGCACGGCAGAAAAAAATCAGGAGCACGACAAAATAGACCCCAAGGACTAAGGAGCACGGCAGAAAAAGACCAGGAGCACGGCAGAACAAACCCCAAGAGCTAAAGAGCACGGCAGGAAAAAATAGGAGCACGGCAAAATAGGCCCCAAGAGCTGCAGAGCACGGCAGAAAAAGACCATGAGCACGGCAGAATAGACCCCAAGAGCTAAGGAGCACGGCAGAATAGGCCCCAAGAGCGAGAAAGACTCCAGAAAAAGACCATGAGCACGGCAGAGTAGACCCCAAGAGCTAAAGAGCACGGCAGGAAAAGACCGAAGCACGGCAGAATAGGCCCGAGGAGCCAAGGAGTACGACAGAGAAAGACCAGGAGCACGGCAGAATAGACCCGAAGAGTGAAGGAGCATGGCAGAATAGACCCCAAGAGCGAAGGATCACGACAGAAAAAGACCAGGAGCACGGCAGAATAGACCCCAGAGCTCAGGAGCACGGCAGACAAAAAGACCAGGAGCACGGCAGAACAAACCCCAAGAGCGAAGGAGCACGGCAGAAAAAAAAACAGGAGCACGGCAGAATAGGCCCCATGAGCGAAGGAGCACGGCCAAAACAAAATCAGAAGCACGGCAGAATAGACCCCAAGAGCTAAGGAGCACGGCAGAAGAGGCCCCAAGAAGAAGAAGCAAGGCAAAAAAGTACCAGGAACACGGCAGAATAAATCCTACGAGCTAAGGGGCACGGCAGAATAGGCTCCAAGAGCGAAGGAGAACGGCAGAAAAAGACCAGGTGCACGGCAGAACAAGCCCCAACAGCTAAGGAGGACGGCAGAAAAATGACCAGGAGCATGGCAGAACAGGCCCGAAGAGCGAAGGAGTACAGCTGAAGAGGACCAGGAGCACGGCAGAATCTACCCCAAGCGCTAAGGACCACGGCAGATAGGCCCCAAAAACGAAGGAGCACGGCAGAAATGCTCATTATCTGCCGTGCTCGTTTTTGTTTCGTCCGCCGTGCTCTGCCCGATGTTCTAAGGATGTCTGGAGCGAGAGCGCAATTGTTTGTAAAACCTCCTCTCCAACATATCGTTATCGTGAGGATGTCTCAGGCGATACACAACTTTCTGAACATATGTCAAATTTGCGACTTCCCATGTTGGGGGGTTGTCTCAGGCGAAACGCTTAGGTTTGATAAACTTGATGTTACGAACATAACAATTGTGTGAGGATGTCCCAGGCGAAATCACATGTGGGGGTCGTCTCGAGGGCGATCCTGGGGGTCAGATTGGGGCTCGTTTGGGGCCCTTTGGGGCCCTCTTGATGCCCCCCACAATCATTACAGTGCGATGTTAGACACATTGAATGTTTGAGGATGGTCGTAGCAAAATCGTCATTGTTATAAGGCTGGCGTACACCATCAGGAAGCCTTTTCAGGAGCGATTCCAAGACGTTGTTAGAACAGCAGTTTTCAAAACGATGGTGTTGCATGTGTTCATGTGTTGAGGATGTCCCCAGCGAAATCGTCATTTTCGGCAGTATCCAGGGCGCTGATGGGGCCATCTTGGGCTCCTTTTGGGGCTCTCATTTCTTCATCTTGGAGCACTTCGAGAACGATGTCGAGGCGATGTTGCGAACACCTCATGGTTTGAAGATGTCCCCAGCGAAATGATCATGTTCTGCCGTGCCCCTTGTGTCGGTCTGCCGCGCCCCTCCCGATGTTCTGAGGTTGTCCCGAGCGAAAGCGCCAGTTTTATATGAGAGGTAGTAAAACAGCTTTTCCAACATATCATGTTTTCGAAGATGGCTCGGGCGAAACGCCCATTGCTCCATGCACAACAAAATCCTTGACATGTTTCAACATCCGATTGTCTGAGGATGTCTCGAGCGAAGACGTCTTAAACGAAAACCTCAAGGATCTCGATGTTGTGAGGATGTTTCGAGCGAAACGCTCATGTTTGGGAACATTTCTTGACATGAACGGGAAGCGCGTGAAAGCAAAGAGCTTGGCAAGAACGCGCTCCAACCTCAAGTTCGCATGTCGCGTAGGCGCTCTTCCCGAACGTCCGCGCAAGTTCAGACGTGCTGCTGACCCCGAACGTCCACAAAAAGAACCAAACTGAGTTCACGATACGCGCAAATTCCGACGTGCCGCTCACCCCGAACGTCCACAAGAGATACCAAATGGAAGTCACCATCCGCGCAACTCCAGTCACCGCTCACCGCGAACATCCACAAAAGATAACAAGTGGAGTTCACTACCCGCGCGAGTTTAGATGTCGCTCTTACCCCGAACCCCCACAAAAGATATCAGGTGGAGTTTACTTTCCGCGCGAGTTAAAGAAGGAGGAGGAGAAGGCAATGGTTAGAGGATGTCTCGAGCGAAACGTTATGTGTGTAACAAAACTGTTGAAAAATCGTTATTTTTATAATAATTTCGCCATCGAGGACCCATCCGAAGGCAGTGTTTGGAGGTTGTCTCGAGCGAAACGCTGATGTTTTAACGAAAATGTTGAAAATATTAGGTTGTTTCAATAGTTTCGCTTCTTGGGCAATCTTGGGGGTCATCCGAGATCGCTCCGAAAAGATGCCTCACAAGAGCTCTGTCAACATCCCATAGTTTCGAGGATGCCTCGGGCAACTTCCATTTTCGAGGATCCGAAAATTAGGCCAGCGATTTCAACATCCCGATTGTTTGAGGATGTCTCGAACGAAACGCCCATGTTTGGCAAACGACGTCTTAAGATACGACCCCCAACGTCTCGATGGTGTGAGGATGTCTCGAGCGAAACGCCTATATTTGGGAACCTCTCTTGACATGAACGGGAAGCGCGTGAAAGCAAAGAGCTTGGCAAGAACGTGCTCCAACCTCAAGTTCGCATGTCGCGTAGGCGCTCTTCCCGAACGTCCACAGGGGGTACCAGGTGGACTTCGCTATCCGCGTCAGTTCAGACGTGCCGCTGATCCCGAACGTCCACAAAAAGAACCAAATTGAGTTCACGATCCGCGCAAATTCCGACGTGCCGCTCACCCCGAACGTCTACAAGAGATACCAAATGGAATTCACATTCCGCGCAACTTCAGTCACCGCTCACCGCGAACGTCCACAAAAAAACAGGTAGAGTTCACTACCCGCGCGAGTTTAGACGTCGCTCTTACCCCGAACGTCCACAAAAGGTATCAGGTGGAGTTCACTGTCCGCGCGACTTCAAAACCTGCTGGAGAATGTCTCGAGCGAAATGCTCTGTTGTTTAACGAAACTATTGAGAACCCATAAGCTGTTCAATAAGTTCGCCTTCAAAAATCCGTCCGAATGCAATGGTTGGAGGATGTCTCGAGCGAAACGAGATAGAAACCATGTGTGTTTTCGATAATTTCGCTTCTTGGGCCATCGTGGAGGTCATCCGAGATCGCTCCGAAAAGGTGCCTTACAAGAGCTCTTTGCGCATCCCATTGTTTCGAGGATGTCTCAGGCGAAACGCCCATCTTTGGAGGTCGGCGAATTAGACCAACGATGTCAACATCCCCGTGTTCCGAGGATGTCTCGAGCGAAACGCTCATGCTTAACATAAAACGTCTTAAACGAAAATCTCCCAGATCTCGATGTTGTGAGGATGTCTCGAGCGAAACGCTCATTTCGGGAACATTTCTTGACATGAACGGGAAGCGCGTGAAGTCAAAGAGCTTGGCAAGAACGTGCACCAACATCAAGTTCGCATATCGCGTAGGCGCTCTTCCCGAACGTCCACAGGGGGTACCAGGTGGACTTCGCTATCCGCGTCAGTTCAGACGTGCCGCTGACCCCGAACGTCCGCAAAAAGAACCAGATTGAATTCACGATCCGCGCAAATTCCGACGTGCCGCTCACCCCGAACGTCCACAAGAGATACCAAATGGGATTCACAATCCGCGCAACTTCAGTCACCGCTCACCGCGAACGTCCACAAAAAAACAGGTAGAGTTCACTACCCGCGCGAATTTAGACGTCGCTCTTACCCCGAACGCCCACAACAAATATCAGACGAAGTTCACTTTCCGCGCGAGTTCAAAAATTGTTGGAGGATGTCTCGAGCGAAACGTTCCGTGTATAACAAAACTGTTGAAAACCCATCGGTTTTTCAATAATTTCGCTCCACCGAGAGCCCCAGTGGCTGCGCTCGCACGGAGCACCCGCAGCCGATTCGGCACACCATTCACACGCTTCGCAGCCCCATAGGGATCTCCACTGAAGGCCGAAGCGGCTACGTATTGCTTACCCGCACACGATTCGGCACACCCCTCTAACGCTTCATGGCTCAATAGGGAGCCCCGCCGAAGGCCACAGTGGCTGCGCTCGCATGGCGTACCCGCACACGATTCGGCACACCCATCTCACGCTTCGTGGCCCCACAGGGAGATCAACCGAAGCAGCAATTGTCTGCGTTAGCATGGCGCACCCGCACCAGATTCGGCACACCCATCACATGTTAGGTGGCCCCATAGGGAGCTCCACCGAAGGCCCCCCCAATGGCTGCGTGTGCATGGCGCACCGGCACAGCATCCGGTACACCCCTCACACGCTTCGTGGCCCCACAGGGGCTGCGTTCGCATGGCGTATACACAATTCTGACGCAATTCTCACACGTTCCGTGGCCCCATGGGAAACTCCACCAAAAGCCTTATTGGAGTGGCTGCGCTCACATGGCGCACCCGCCCCTGATTCGGCACACCCCTCACACGTTCCGTGGCCCCATGGGGAGCTCCTCCGAAGGCATTGGTGGCTGCGCTCGCACGGCGCACCCGCCCCTGATTCGGCACACCCCTCTCGAGTTGGAACACCGAAGGCCTCAGCGGATGCGTTCGCATGGTGCACCCACACTCAGTTCGGCACACTCCTCTCATGGTGCGTGGCCCCACAGGGAGTTCCGCCGAAGGCCTCAGGGGCACCGTCCACATGCGGGCGGCACGCCCCTGATTAGGCACACCACTCACACGCTTCATGGCCCAATAGGGAGCTCCACCGAAGATGATTCTCACAGCTGCGTCATTCACAACTGCACATGGCTGGGCCTTTCGCAGGGATATTGACGTTCTCGCCTTTTCGTTCGTGCGTGAGCTCAAGACGGCCCAAGAAGCCTCCAGGATGGCCCCAAGACGGCCCAAAATCCCCCGAAGAGGGTCCCAAGACTGCCCAAGAGGACCCTGTGATGGCTCAAGAGGCCTCCAAGATGGCCCCGAGACGGCCGACCGGGCAGCTGGAGAGACCCAAGGCGGCCTGTCGGGAAGGCCCCACAACGGCACCATCAAGATGGCCCCAAAAGGGCCCAAGAGAGCCCCAACACGGCCCCGTTACCGGCCAAATGAACTTCATGCGAGCTCCTGAAGAAAAGAAAACGAAAGGTGTCACGTGTGACTGCAATTTTCTTCCTTTTCCTCCTGGTCATCCTCATCCTCCTCTTTATCCTCCTCCTATTATTCCTCTCCTCCTCGTCGATGATCATCATCAGCAACATCACCACCACCACCACCACCACCACCACCATCATCATCATCATCATCATCATCAGCATCATGAATTTCATCACCATCATCACCATCATCATCATCACGGCTCTCCCAAGCCTGAGGACACGAGGTGCTACACATGACGGCCTTCCGTGCCCCCTCGAACAGCCGCAACCCGAAATGCTGGGCTGACACGTGGCGCCGCAGGCAGCTGGCTAAATGTGCTGGGGAAATGTCGACCTGGTATGGGTATGTCTATGAGACTGCTAGTCCTCGTCACAAAGGCGCTCTCGAAGAGCTTCTCCCCGCCAAGCTCTGCTGGCACCGAGACGTTGACCAGGTCCTTCAAGGATCAAACAACAAGTCACTGAAAAATACACCATTTCTGAACGAAGCGATGGCTTGAACCCCCAACTTCTTCAAAACATGTGGGTGGCCCCCTGGACCCGAGATCCAACCGAAGCCACACATCATCGCTTGTTGGGCAGAGCGAGAGGAGACGCCCTTGATGGGTCCTTCACGAAAGCGTTCAGATCAGTGTTAACCTGGCCTGGCGTCATCGCAATCACGGTGATGCCCCGCGACCCCACCTTCGCTCTCAGCGACCGTGCGAAACAAAGATTAGCAAGCTTGCTCGCCTCGTACATGCGTTCTCCGAATGCCGCGTGCCTCCCTGCAACTTCCACTCCTGCCAT